TTTTTTTTCTTTTTGCATTCCCACACAAAAGTATTGCGTTACCTCGCAGTTCCTTTTGCGTTCCCTCGCAAAAGTCGTTTATCACTGTTGTGCCTGTCAGTTTATTAACAAACTCACATGTTCACCATTAGTGAGTTAGCCTACTGCTTTAATTCAGCTTCAGAATGAATATATCACACAGACACACATGGAAGTATGTCATATGCTGATATTTTAACACAGTGCAGCCACGCAACATCAATGTCAATTTCACGAACTTGTGGCGACACTTCCTGTTTTGGTAACTGGATATTTCAAAATAAAAGTCTGATTTAATTCAGTTCAAATACAAATCAAATTTTTGCGTGAGAACGCAAAACAATATTGCAAGGTAATGCAAAAGTATTGCGAGGTAACACAAAAGAAAAAGAATTCCCACATGTCCCCTCGCGGACTCCGTAGAAAAGAGCTTCACTGAGTGAAAACTAATGTTGAGAGCTCAGCAGACAGTTAAGTTTCACTTTCAATTTCACCCAAGAGCCTGCAGGAGTCATGGGCGGGGTGTGTGGAGGGGGGGAGGGGGTGCGCTCTGCCACGAGGAAGCTCGGCTTAAAAACACGTCCCAGGGGCGTTTCTGGTCTCCACCTGTCGTTTTGCTCTTCAGCATGGCTTCATAAAAACACTGCAGGATTTCTCAAACATGCATGAATGAGTCAGAGCAAGGCTTTGGGCATGTTTTTTATGAGAGTATAACATTATAACATGATATAAAACTAAAAAAAGTTGATTTTACATGATATTGCCCCTTTAAAATAGTGGTGTTATTTGAGAACACTGACAGATTATTATGATTACATCATGTAACAGTTTCACCTTTTTATAATTAGAACAAATCAGCAGACAGCAACTGAGCAATTAGTGTTACTCTAGTGTTGAAAAATAGTTGACAAATTGTCTTGTTTTATGATTCTGTATTAAAGTAGTGACTCTAACCACAGGACCTACTCACTTTGAGAAACAKCAGATTTAATTTCACCTGCAGAACAGTTTTACTCATTTGTGAGTTGTTGAAAAAATGAAGGCTCTAGCTTTTACAATGAATTGGTGACTTATTATGAGTCATAATTAGACAAGTGGCGATGTAATGTAAACCATCTCTTCATTGAGTGTTTTCTGACCAGGATGTTTTGTATGTTGCAGCTCTGCATGGTGTCATTAAGTCTTTTCCGCACTCTCCTGTCTCTGAACTGTGAGGATGTCATGCTGCAGCTTGTTCTCAGGTATGTCTGCAGAAGTATTTTCTTTCCATTTCTAAAGGTGTTGCGACCCATTTGTGACGTATGAAGACTTGCTTCTCCTTTTAGATGCACTGAAACTTTTTACAGAGTATCCGCGGGGTTGTAAAAAGTATTAAAAGGTAATAAACACCATCTGACGAGGTATTAATTTGTAAACAACTAGCGCACTTTCACCATGCTGGAATCTGATGCGCTGTGTGGAAAACAGATTTAACTAACATTTCCCTGGGCCTATCTGAGACGCAGCTTTCACTTTAGACGGGCCTATTAGCCAATCAGAAATAGTGTGGGGGCGGGACTTAAGTGTAGTTGYAGAAGTTGGARYGGTGTTTTAAATAAAATATATTTGTCAGGACAAGTCTAAAAAAGAACAGGAGACGATATCAAAGCTGGAAGATTGTTAAAAGTCAGAAAAGATAAACCAGCAGAAGGATTACTGACTCCACCACCTGAGAGGAGCCGTGTGTCGGTGGATGCTAGCTTTAGCTAAAGCTAGCTGGACAGGAGCAGAGCAGAGAGGAGAGAGGAGCAGACATTGATCTACACTGCTCAAAAAAATAAAGGGAACACTTAAACAACACATGCTAACTCCCGATCTTAATCAATGAAATATTTGCATTGAGTACTTTGTTCTGTACAGAGTTGAATGTGCTTCACAAAAGTTTTATTTACTTGGACTTAGCATGCGTTGTTTAAGTGTTCCCTTTATTTTTTTGAACAGTTTATATTACTGGATTGGACATCACGTGACTTATCGTGCACCGCCACAGGAGCCATTGCTATATATTGAGTCATGTCAACAAAACTTTCAATGCGGGCTGCGTGTCAATCTGTCACAAAAATATTCATAGCACCCTCATTTCTTATCTGATTTCTATAAAATATGGCTTAAATTAACGCTGAGAAAATTGCAGATTTTGTGATATGTAAAAAATATGTATTTGCTCAAGAGATAAATCTGTAAGCAGTCTGGGAACTTTTTATTATAGGTTTGTGCTAATGTATTTACAGTAGAAGCCCCTTTCCATCACAAAGACAAATTTGCTGTTCCACCAAATTATTATATTTTTTATTAATATTATTATGTTAGGATAACATTAGCTACATTTACATGGACAAAAGTAATCGGATTAAAC